TCTTCATTTTGGGCAGAACATAGCTGGTGATAGGTTAAAGAGATGAATGTGATCAGTCGATCATTCCTATAAATCTTTAAATCTTTTTCTGTCAACATTTAATTTGCGTCTCCCAAAAATGCAGGGGGAAAACACAACTACCATTAAGCTGAGCAAGTCACAAAAATTGCAGCCTCCAGGTACTGCAGGTACTTCAGGTACTGCAGGTACTTCAGGTACTGCAGGTACTTTATGTACTGCAGGTACTTCCAGGTACTGCAGGTACTCCAGGTACTGCAAGTACTTCAGGTTGGATTTTTCAACAGTGTAGTATATAACGTTGCATTACACGATTGTTTAGTTTTAACAAATAACAATAATATAGACAAATTATACAATTTAGATAATAGATATTATCTAAACGTAACTTAATTGACTCAATTTCAATCTGTTGAGGGATTGCGATCTTTTTTCATTGTACACAGCAGTACAAAGTACACAAATATGATAGAACGAATATCCAATGGTGCGGAAAAGTGCGGTATTAGGTCAATAGTGCGATTCTGCACCCACCGCACTTACATGATTGCAATGCAAGGGACCATTTCAATGCAAGGATCTTATGCCTATGATGAAGGAAATATATAAGTAACCAGTATCTTTCATCAATTAGGTATATAAAATACCAAATACAGGCCCGCAACCCTGGGTTAGTGAACACAACCCACCAATCATATCATCCCCAGTAATCACGTGACTCACCGAATCACCATGACAACCAGTCCTGCATCTTAACCCAAGCACGTGGTACAGTACGGTACATGCAAGCCATATGAAGCTGTATATTGTGTGCTCTTATAATGGTAATTACGATCGAGCTGTGTATACATAGCTAGCGAGAGAGAAAGAGAGGGAAAGTGAAGGTCCTGTGTTATATACTATACCTTATTACTGTAGATTAAGATAGTAGTATCACACTAGTACTGTGTGCAGCGCCTGTCTGTTTCCGGTTCTTTAATTATAAACACAGCTCTCTGATCCTGCTTCAATACCCACGGAACCCTCCTGCTTTTGGTGGTCGTGCCGCTGTTTAATTTAGAACGTTTATAGATGGAGCTGCATCTGTTTGTAGAGGCCGAATGTGTTCTTGCGACATGTTTGGTTATCAAGGATTATTCTAAGTCCTTTTATTTGTTTGAAATGGAAGGCTGCAGCTTGCAGTTTGCCGTTTACTTTTTTGTTTTTGTTTGTGCGTCACCGATCCTTTACAACTGCAGTCCGAGTAAAGGTCCAACCGATCAATCAAAAGACTCTTATCATTCCAATCATTCAAAGAGACGTCCCATATTTAAATGAGGTCTCGGTGGATAATTTGAAAACGCTTTTTGAGTGGATGCTCTGATTGCAAGCTATGTCCTCAAATTAAACAAAATAGCCTTGTGGGCTGTGGCCATCCCATTAGCATCAATTATTCTCACAATTCACTCCCCTCCTATTTGTTGAACCATATTTGGTCCGATTAACGCTCGCCCTAAAGCACTACCACTGCATGATGTCCACCAATCAGTGAAGAAGTTCTAAATAAAATACTAAATAGTTCTCAATTCTTCCAACTGCAGTCGGGTGTTTGAATAGTTGCTTTATGCTTGTACAGAAAGATGGCTACATGTCTTAGCACAAACCGGCCCTAGAACTTCCAGTTCCAATTTATAATAAGGCTTTATCCAGCTCAATTACAGCACTAAATGAGTGCATAATTGCTTCATAAATGCATAATCGCTGCATAATGTGGGCGCTGACGTACATACTGGACTGTTCAAAGTACGGTCGTTATAAAGTTATAAGTGTCCGTGTTTTCAACAGCTCCTACGATCGCCTGGTGTACACAATACTGCAATAAAGCTACACTATACAGTATACTACACACTACCGCACTACATGTACAATACGTGTGCACTTACTTGTCCAGTCCTGTATAAAATATGTGTAGACAGCAGCTTGTGAGTAATGATGTTTGTTTTCCTGCTGGAGAGAGAAGCAGTGGTACACACGTATGTGTGTAGGTACTCCGCGGCTGTTGTTGTCTATGATACCGCGTGCAGTTACTGGTAGATTATCGTATTATCGCATGTTGCTGGGGTGTACTTGTGTGTGTAATTAGTGCTTCTTGCCGGCGCTGTGCTGATATGTGCATTTAGCTGGGTTTGTTATAGTCTTCAAGCCCATGAAAGTCGGCCACTGTACTGTTAGCGGTTTTCGTAGACCTAGACGGGCGGGCTCTAGTTGGGCAGTTTGTCATACGCGAACTGTTTTTATGCACGAACTGTTTTTATGCACGAATTGTGTTTGTGTACCAATTGGTTAATGCACGATCTGTGTTTGTGCACGTTTGTTTGCAGTAGTGTAGTTCGTAGACAATTTTAGTTTTACTGACTCTTTCTGTACTTTTTATTTTTGTTAACAACTGTGAGCCAGCGTTATAGTATAAGCACTTATAATTTAATTATACCACAAGGACCTCTTAACGGATGGTAAAGGCCTGGCGACTTATAATCGGTAGATAATAGACCACGATCTCTCATTTCATATATTATATGTGTTGAATATAATCCTCGTGACGTAATATAGTTATTCAAAATATATAACACATACCACATGCATTAACCGTTTATAATTATCCCAGTAACTGATCATTATAGTATTAACTGTTTATAGACGGTATAAATAACATAATTATGTCTAACATTGAGCTGAAGAACATTGGCTTCAAGGTACGGATGTTTACCAATCACTATCGGATTCGTTTCCTGACAGTCTAGATTTTTTCATAAACCTTACCGTAACCAATATGTAACCGATGTCAATCAGCTAGTGTTAACTACCAAAAAGGGCGGAGATTGGTAGTGGTACCCGTGATCAAACTGGAAAATGTTCGTACGAATTGGTCTTAAAGTTCTTCAAAATGGCACCCCACCTCCTTATAACACCCAAACCCTCAGATAACACCCAACCCCTCTGATAGCATCCCAGCAGAATTCCGAACCCCTTCTAATGGTAACCGAAGTCTGAACCCCCTCTGAGTCTGATAGCACCCCGTCCCTTCTGGTAGCACCACTACCCCTCTGATAGCACCCTATCCCTTCTCGTAGCACCATACTTCCGCATGTAAGGTTTATCTGAGCCCTTTATGTTACACCACTGAGTGTTGAATATTATTATCACTATTTGTAGCACTGTTGCAACAGCAATAACGAATTATTCAGCTTATACAAATTGTCGGCACTTAGTGCTGTCAAAATCAAATATTTAAACACTAAACGTCTCCAGTGCTTTTTCGCCACTGCTGCGTTCTCTCATTTGTTATATGTTATAGGCTTGATTTTATGGACATTTCACTATGTTTATCGACTGTAAACACTGTACTAGGCGGCTCTCCATGTTGGATACCAGTTCTAGAATCTAGATCTACTGGTTCTGAATCAGCGGCACTAAATTAGCCCAGCACCAGCCTAGCTTGGTTGTGGTCATGTAAATATTTCACATGTTTTAAAGATATTTCGAAAGATTGTTTGTGTGCGTACTTTGCCAGTCTACTCTGCTTATATTTATGGTGGTAAGTGGAATTAAGTATATAAGGGCAGTGAAACTTAAACAGGCCAAATCGTGAAACATCTAACTCTTAATTTCAGAAAGACAAATTATTACATATAATTACATTTAATTACATATTATTACATATTATTAAATATTATCACATATCATTAAATATTAGGGATATTATTACATATTATCACATATTATTAAATATTATTACATATTATCACATATTATTACATATTATTACATATTATTACATATTATTATTACATCTCTCATTATCTTTAGTAGAATCTCGGTTAAACATTTTGGCAAACTCTGCCAGACTCGTTTTCATAATCTACATTATATTCAGTAGCTCAAGCATCTAATATATTCTTAATCTTCAGTATACTAAATATAACATACTTAATTTTCCGGAAAGTTGTAAATTTACAATTTATTTTAGCCGCTGGCCGGCAAGCTGGAATGAAACTTTGCCAAGTCTGCGGTAGGTTATGAGGATCATGATTGTTATAATTAATTCGGATTCTTATGACCTGGCTTAATCTTATGGCATAGCCTTATTATCTGCCGCGCACAACTTCATAGACCCTAATAATCCATAACATACATTAGTGTAGTGACATGTGTTGTAAACTATTACTAAGTAATGTGATATAAAGTATCCTCGAATTCAATCACGTGACTCGTGAGTGTATGATAAGATGTATTGTGAACGGTACAATTATTCTAAATATGTGCTTTAAATAAAGCTGCCAACTTTGTAACATCGTACAATCTCGCTAATTACGTTTACAATGCAAATTTAACTGTACAAACACTACTTATACGTTGTGGACATTTACAAAGTTCAATAAATTGTTATACACTACAATAAAACGCAGAACATGTAGAGATATACCCTTTGTCTATGTTACTGTTAGTGTGAACTATGTTGTTCATAAAAAGAAATTCCTGACATTTTATTTGCCGGCGTTTAGGTTTGACTTCATTCCTTTTCTTTAATATGTACAAGCTAATCCTGAGCAGGGATTAATTTAAGTGGAAATTTTAACAAGCGGCAGTTGCAATGATTTTTTAATTTCGTAAGAGGTAGGATAAGAGGAATCAGGGAGTACTCTGAACTTTAAAGATGTACCTTTTTACTAAATACCTTTCAAACTTTACAGAGTACAGCAAATGCAATTACAAGGGTTACAAATTAAAATTAGTAATGTATAGCTCTTAAATGTGTGTATAACCTAGCAATGTTGTCTAGCTGTCATACTAAGGGCCAATGATAACGAGGTTGATGACAAAGCTTTTAAATCCTCCACTTATATCTCATGATACTGCACTGTATAATAATATGATGCTTTTGGACAGAAAGGGAAACACACAACGTAAGACTTGAAATCTTCGTAAAACTACATCATTAGAGCCTCAAATTATTTGTTATATAGTAGTGTTGAAAGTATTAAAACTGTATAATTAATAGTACCTATATCGATTATGTATGCGCACGCCGCAGGAGTAGAAGGACAGATCATTTATTCTTTTATTACAGCGAATCTAACGACCTGTGTGTATAAATGCAGTACAGCTTGATATTTGAAACCTGTTACAGTGTTGAGAGACTATACTATTTTGCTTACGTATTTCGCACTCCTAGAGATGCTAAAGAGTTTGTTTCACGTATATTTCTAGCTTTTCTTGATGTCTATTCTGTAGACTTAAAAGTTATATTTATAGCTGTACTACTACTACTAGCACTACTATAGGTATGAGCTAGAGTGTAGAGGCTGTGGTTTTAAAGATTTTTAAAGCAGCTTTGTACCATTCGTTCAAAATATCGGAACAAATTTGTGCTTTTTTAACATAAACTGATCAATAACATTGCCCTTCAATCTTCATTTTCATCTTTTATGATTTATTATAAAAGACCAAGCCCCAATTTGCACTTTTGAATTTTCTATACAAGGGTTCCTTCCAATCACAAATTCCTTTATTTGGTCAAATTACGTCCAGGCAGCACATCTTTCTAAGCTAAATGATTTCTCGGGGGTTGCAATCATCACTATTTATCAACTATTATCTGTAGCGTTGAGTATTTATTTTTAACTCTTAAAGTTGAATTGTAGCGCGATTTATCTCGTTGACTTGTAAAACTACCAGTGGATTTAATAGAACCCATAAGTATATAATCAAATTAAAGGATCAACATGTTCAACCGGGCCCGCTTTTTTGACGAGACCACCCTTATAGAATTAAACAGTACAATTCGAGGGCTGGGCTGGTATACTGACAAAAATGGCCTACCAATTTCGGTTTGGTCCCGGTCGAATTGCGGGGTTACGACTTCCCCTGCCAAAAGGGAAATTGATTTTGATACCGGAACTAAGCAAGGATTTCAGTCCATAAGACTCGATCTTTGATTATATTGTTGCATCACTTCTTTGTCGATTAACAGTGCGCTCACTAAATTTTTCATTTCTCATTTTTAAAGCTTTGTTATGGGGCTGAAGATTCTCTAGATTTACTGGTTTAGTTTTCACTTAATTTTATTGTTTTCAGTAGTGTGACTTGTCAGCTATTACAGGTATAGCACACATTATACTTATAGCTTTATAGTACTCTTTATACTTTAAAGTATTAAGGGGGGGGGGGGGGGGTTCACCCTGATTTTTTGTGAAATTTGATTTGGAGATAGCAATTGACCAACAAACTATGGCCTGTGACCGAACTTTTAGGGGGTTCCGGACTCCGGAATCTATATAGTTTCAATTGTTGCATGATAACGTCACTTTAACAGTAACTGAATTGTGACACTTTCCTCATTTATTCCTCATTTATTCCTCATTAATTCGCCATGCGGTTTACAACTTGTATTTGCTGTTGCTGCACTTGACAATTCAATAAGTGAGGACCGATAAGGCAGTCTATGTATGCAGTATACATCTTCTGAATAATATAATATGTATTAATGTATGACCGAATATAATGCAATATGAACCAGCTTTTCACATTATAGTATCATGGTATCTGATGCGATGCAGATTGCAGATGATTATTTCGTAAAGAGACAGAGTTGTTGGTCGCTAAATATGGTGTTTAGTTAACAAGTTTTCTTTTAAAATTCAATATGATAGTCGTACTTTCCCCGTCATTGAGTTATTCAAGATTGATTAAGTATGATTTCAGTCCAAGAGAAATGATGAAATTTTATAAGTAGATGCAGTTTCAAAACGAAAATGAACCAATGCACATTACACTCTAGTCTTACGAACTTCTATTGCAGTGTTAATTCATTTGTTAACAATATAATATGATTGCAGCTTATTGGGGTTAATCTGTTAAACATTATTCAGGTTGATCACATAATATGATCCTATACAAGTAGGGTCCCGCTGTATTCAGGGAAATCGAAAAATACTGTAAGACATTTTCCAATTATTTTTAAACGAAAACATCTTCTAGCTTGTCTACTCGTTTCAATACTAAACTCCCTTTGATCACGCAGGATGTAAAGCTGACAAAAACAGTGAGATGAGCAGCTCAACTCTAACTAAAGAGCTACACAACCCCATCCCCCTCTCAACTTTTATACACCACCATTGATCGATCAGACTCACGGTGATCATATTTTTACAAATTTATACATATCAAGGTGTGTTCTAGCACTTCAACAACAAAAGATATCAGATCTAATCGCATGGGAATAGCAAATTTAGAGTTTCTGCAGGCAAAGAAAGATTCATCCTCGTCAGAAGGGAGTGACTTCTGCCGGATCTGCCACTGCGGTGCCGAGGTCGAGGAGCTCATTTCACCCTGTCACTGTAGTGGTAGCTTGGGTAGGTTTAGGAATTCAACTCATTTCACCCGGAGTAAAAATACAATTTGTTTAGACGATATTTAAATGATATCTTGATATGCAACAGCTCCTTCGTAATATTTTGTATCATTTCTCAAAAAAGTCACACTTTCTGTGGTACACCCTGTAGATCGAATATATATTTCCGATATTGAATGATATAACAGATCCTCGGTATTTCTGTCCGTTACCATGTCTAATCCCACAGGGTTCATTCATCAGACATGTTTACAAGAATGGCTCGGTAGCACAAACAAGAAAGTTTGCGAACTTTGCCGATATGAGTTCAAACTGCACGCAACCCTTCGTCCTCTAAACAAAGTGAGTTTTAAGAGACTTTCAACGGATCTTTAGTCAGATCACTATAAGTGTAAAACTTGCGGATCTGCTTCTTTACTAGTTTTATTAATGCTTATGTAATCTTGACTGCTCCTCAGATCAATTGACATGTTCATTTTACACTATTCTAGACTCAACAACACTATACGTTAAATTGGAAAACAGCACCTTAGTTCACACGACTTTACCCACAAAAACATCCTTACAAGTATAAATCTAAATACTAAAAGTAGACTCTTATAAATTAAGAATAATTATAAGTTAATCAATTAATTAATAATTAACCCCACCATCCCCTGTTATAGTGGAGGTTGCTATCACTTTCTCGGTACGAAAGGAGAAAGATAGTGTGTTCAGTGACATTTCACCTCCTAGCTATAACTTGTGTTGTGTGGAGCATCTGGGTGCTCCTTCAGCGCTTAATTCAGGTAATCAGTTAATTGAATAATTAAATAATTAACTAATTGATTCCTTCAGCGCTTAATTCAGGTGATCTGTTAATTAAATAATTAACTAATTGATTCCTTCAGCGCTTAATTGAGATGATCAGTTTGACTTAGTTTGTAAAGTTTGATAAATAATTGACTAGTTGAAAGGGATTGTCTCACAAAACTATTTTCTCTCTTGAGCTCAGATCTAGAAAAAATTAATAACGATTCAAATTGCAGGAGGCTGGTCACTCAGAATTGGGCTGGGCATTCTGGACTAAAGTAGTTGTAGTTATTATTGGATTCATCGGGGGACTCTCCTTTGTCTTCGCACAGGTCATATCTTTCTTCCTATTGAAATTTATTGCAGGTTGACCGAACCTACTTAACTATAATGGACTGAAGTCCAGGACCATTATAGGTTATTTCTCAGTTTAAGCTTTCATCCACTTACAAATGATATAAATTATGGGTTTAATGAAATATGGGTTTTAATTTTTGTTTATGACAGAAAGACTAATAACGATTTAACAAAAAAAAAACTCATCGTTTTAAGTTTAGTTGTTTAGGGATAGATAATATAAGCAACAGTAATAGTATATCAACATTCCATACTAATTTGCAGGTTAAAATGTACTATAACCTTATAAAAAGGTGGCGCTCTTTCAACAAGATAATCCTAGTGGTCGACAAGTCAGAACCAGAAGACGATGACATTGCAGATCACCGAGCCAGCTCAACTCAAAATACCTCTCAACCCCCAGTTTTTATTGTCTAGACTGAGTTTTAAAAACAAGCCGTTTAATTGATCTCGTGCATTAAACAGTCGCAAGTTACAAAACAAGATCGAACAAATATTACAACAAAGTACAAACCGTGCTAATAAACTCAATAACAAAGATCATGATAGTGGTGAATATGGTAGTTATCTGAGAAGGGCTGATCAGGTCATAAGCTGACGAGGATCCCGAATCAAAGAGTTGAACTCTTGAACGGTTACTTATGAAATACTTTATCGCGTGCCTTATATCTGATCATGGTCTATTTTATTTTATTTTCATACGTCAGTTCGAAGAGCAAATCAAAAGTCAGATGCTCGTTTTTAGAGCTGAAAAATTGAAAATTATTGGCGTCGATTTTTTTCTATTTCTCGTATTTGTCGAGATACAATTTTCGACTGATTTGAAGATTTAATGGCAAGTCGATTTATATCCAAGCTCGAAGTTGAGCCAATTTTTATGTTTTTGCTGTGTTAAAATCCTTTTCATATACAATGCTTATTTGACAATTCTATAAATAAACGCATTTTGTATAGTTTTCTTCAAAATAACTAGACATCAAGCTTGAAACTCGAAACTCTTTCTTTCTCATCTAAATATAACTATAAGCTATCTAATATATGCTCAAACATATTTTTTTTCGTTGACAAGCGTGTTCTTCACTAATGCTCGGTGGTTTACAACTTTAAGTATCCTTAAAGCAATTCTCTGTCAGAAGAATGCAGCCCGGGCCATTTGTTGAGTGTTGGACCGTCGCAAAGGGTATACGTTTAGAAGTAGAAGAGATACGCACAGGGCTGTAAAACTGTAAAACTGCATGTTAGAACAAAAAGCCGAGTATTTCTTTGTGTCACATCTAGTTAGACAGAAGGAGCTGCTTTCTAACTCTTCCTTCGTTATCAAACATGAACATTAGGCATGTATATTGTATACTGATCATTAAAACTTGTTTCATGTCCATGCGCATAAGTGCATAAGTGCATAAGTACATAAGTGCATAAGTGCATAAGTGCATAAGTGCATACGTGCATAAGTGTTCTGCACCACCAGTCCACCACGGAACATTGCACAAATCTAAAGCCCTGCCTCCTAAAAAGTTACTGCTAATAGTCAAAGACCGTACTCGAATTTAAAAATCCAGATTAAACCTAGGGAGGCCGGTGAAGTAATTTTAGATTATTATTTTTATAATTTCATATTATCTGCTGAAGTGGAACCGTAGGCCGGGGCCCGGGAGGACGATACGAGGAAAACCCTAAAAACTATAAAGGCTGGATGGCGTGTCCACTCGGGCGTGATGATGCTAATATACAGGGTTTGATAACATTGGCAGAGTTAGCATGAGCCGAGTACAATGTAGGAGAAACTTGTTAGGTCGTAAAACTGTAAAAGAAATGTGGCGTGTGTGATGCAGGCCACTCAAATGAGGAGACCTTTTCACCTAACAGTATTTCATAACCAATTTCACTAATTTATATACTTCATGTTCTTTCAGTTTATTTTTTGGAGTGGAAGAGTATTAATACGAACATTGAGATAATTTTTAACTTTACTTCAATCATGACATAGAAACCTTGAGATACAAAAATTCTGTAAATATTATGTCCCTTGTCTACTCGTCGTATCGATGTTATTTCGCTAAGCGAAATACCGACCAAGTACGCGCACTCAAGCGTGACACTTTAGCACCTACACTTTAGCACCGACACTTTAGCACCTACTAAGGGTATCTCATGTTCAGATACCGTCGCATAGCGGTTCTTGTTAGCGATGTCTCGGAGAATTTAGTTTTAGTATATCACATTCGATTCCTACTCCTCTTTACAACTATCTACAATATGCATAGTAACATGACAGTCATTCCTCAACTCCTCCTGAGAAGCCCATCTTCATCCGGGACGAACAGCCGGCAGCATTAACAGGCTTATCATCATTATGTTACGACTATTATTAATCATTGATTAAAAAACATAACTCAATCTTCAAAACTGACTTTACTCTCAAATTTCTAACCGCTTTAAAATCTGCATGTGGATACCGCTCTAGAGTCCTCATAGTATGGGTCCGGTAAGGGAGTTCCGCTCTAGAGTCCTACCCTGGCGGCTGGCGATTTGATTTCGCTCTATGGTCCTACTTCCGACCAAGTCAGCTCTACAGTCCCCCACTCTAGAGCCCTACAGCCCAGGTAACAGGTGATTAAGTGGCACTTTAGGCATAGACTTGTTAATTAAATCTCGTGTCTTGATTTGTCACTGTAACAACAGAAACGCTTTCGAATGTTTTAATGTGGCATATAAAATAAGCTTAGAGCATCAGTGTGAAAACATGACTGGTAAATCAAAGCCTCAATCCCAGAAAAGCCAATGTCGGTATGTCACACGTTGCTGCTCTATATAAATATTGCTTAATTTTGAGTCTCGGTTTAACTTCCCACGCCTACAAGTCGTACGATGAATACAAGATTCTCAGAGTAACCACAGCGTCTGACACAGAGTATAAATCTATTCACAACTTAAACCTTCGGCTACATGTCAACGGACTAAAATATAACACGTATAACTTATCTACGATAATATATTTCTGTACAGATGCCTTAACTAAATTATCGTCAACTTAAGTTAGCCTCCCACTTACATCTACCCTCTAACCTCTTAACCTCTAACTTAACCTCTAAGCTCTAACCTCTAACTCTAACCTTAACCTCTAACCTCTAACTCCTAACCTCTAACTCTTGGTAAAAGATGAATACCCTAAGCCAGACCCCACCAAAACTCATAGATTATCGTATTTGATCGGAGGATGATATTTAAGCGGTTATTAATAGCTTGCTTGCTCAAGGTATGTTATTTACCAAAGTCCCCAAACTAAAGTGGTTGCACCTTCTTGGTCATTTCATCATTTTCTTTACTGTCACGGTGTTATTTTATTGAGTTAAACTTAAAGAGCAGGTTTGGTGGGAGATGAAGACTACTTGTTTTTGACACATGACGTAATTCTAAGATGATCAGTCAATGTGGATTTAGGAATGCTGTATACTAAGGAAATACAGGAAGGGCACCTTTTTCCAACAAAGAGAAGGGCAAAATGGAAATGTAAGCTATATTTTGCCACAACAAAGACTACCTGTTTGTCACGGGCAAGATGTGGATTGGGTGGGGAGGTGACTTTTTTTTAAAAAATCAGGGATTTGTAGAGCTGGAGATAACGGTTTTTCCTGTTTTGAATGATCCAAGAACCCAAGATGCCATCTGACTTGCCTGGTGAACATGATTGAATATTATTATTTATCAATTAAATAAACCAATGTAAAACTTACTTGAGCATAGCTTCCCTTTCCTTCTGATTGAAGAAAGGTGGAACGCAGATTATAACTTTACTGACTGGGCTTTCCCCCGTGTTTGTAGCGATGCAGGCACCGCAAAACCTCTATCTGCGGGGTTTTTGAGTTACAGACTGTTATCTGTACTTGGAGAAGGTACATAGATCCTGGCAAAAATGTACAAAGAAATGTACAAGCAATGTACAAGAATGTACAAGAAGTGATGCGTGAATGCTGATCTAAGTTACGGTTATGTTGTATTCTCCCATGAATTATATAAGGGTAAAATTAGTGAGGGTAAAACTGTATTAGTTTGTTAACTTTTATCCAGATGCTAATTGTTGCATAGTTCCTTACTTGCATTGCCAGTAATCCTCAACTGTAAAAATGTATTGTCGTCGTGTCGGAAACACTACTGTATTTCTCACAGATCAGCTTCTATGTCTGAATAGGGGAACCTGTACAATTAATTGGTGGTATTTGGTTGTTATTTGGATAGTTTGCTAACTTAATGAAGGGGTGGGAAAGCTTAAAGGAGATCGGGGTCGTTTCAATAATCAATACAGCAAATTAATTTTGATAACTTGTAATGTTTACCTTTCTTTAGTACTCAGTGACCACTGGGTTATCTATATGATTTACCGGAGTAGATCGACCAGGTTAGATAGCGTTCTTTCGGTGAATTTTTTCCTGAAAGAGTTGTGTAAAAATTGTGGTTTACACTTTCGACCAATATTTGCGCCAAACACCTGTCGCCCCGTACACGTTAATTTGGATAAATTCATGATTGTGAATACCGATTACGGGAATAAATCATGAGACTCTTTACAAAAAATTACTACCAGTATAGTTACCAGTGTTTTATTTAAACAAATCCAGGAAGGTTCATTTTATGATGTACGACGTAGACTTAAGTCTTTGCGTCATACCACTGTCGATTTAATTGTACCAGAAGTTTACTAGGGTCCATTGGGAGACTGTGCCTCGTTCAGATCTATTACCGCGCTTTGCGCGCGCTAATTTAATTATGCGGATGATTTTTGCTATGTACGCGAAACCATGCGGCTTACATAAAGTTAAGTTTTTCCGTGACCAACAGAAGGACTTTCGACAAAACTGTACCATAAGGATTGGTCGTGAATCGAGTTTTTGTTTTAGTGACTATAACTTAGAATATTTTTCTGATTTTCTCAAGATCTGACCAATAGATTTTCTTTAAATTTCCCGATAGTTGTCTGACTATGATAAAGTTATTTCTGCGCGATTTTGGGCGAGTTTCTATGGGCAAAACTAAGATATGACTTCAAACACAAGGAAAAAATCACAAATTTGCGGTTTCTAGCGGGAACGCAGGCACCATACTTCAAGATCCACTGATTAAATTTTTCTTTAACTTTCCAGCGAGTTGTATGGACCTATGAGACAGATATTCTGTGCGATTTTGGGCGAGTTACTATGTGCCAACTACGATAGGACTTCAACACAAGAAAATATCACAAATTGGCGGTTCTAACGGAAACAAGGCACATTACTCAAGATCCTACTGATAAATTTTCTTTAAACTTTCCGGCTAGTAGTATGACTATGAGAAAGATATTCTGTGCGATTTTGGGCTCGAGTTTCTGTTGTGCCAAACCTAAGATATGACTTCCAAACACAAAGACAATATCCACAAATTGGCGGTTTCTAACGGAACACAGGCACATACTTCAAGATCCTACTGATAATTTTCTTTAACCTTTCGGATACGTTGTATGACTCTGAGAAGATATTCTGTAGCGATTTGGGCGAGTTTCTGTGTGCCAAACCTAAAGATATGACTTCAAACACAAGAAAATATTACTAATGGCGGTTTCTAACGGAACACAGGCACATATTTCGAGTCCTACCGATAAATTTTCTTTAAACTTTCTATGATAGTTTGTATGGCTATGAGACGGATAATCTGTGCGATTTTGGGCGGAATTTCTATGTGACGAACTTGAGATATGACTTCCAAACACAAGAAAATTATCTCCAAATTGGCGGTTTTTAGCGGAAACAAAGGCAAATTTTATTTTGGAGATCTAAATGATAGACTTTTTAAAACTTTCCAGATTAGATAACATGGCTATAGGGGGTAAGGAGGAGGAGGAGAAGGAGGAAGTTACTGAGGAGGAGATGAGAAGACTGAGGAGGAGGAGGAGGATATTGGAG